CCAAGGAGCCGTGAGCATGGGAAGCTGAATGTCTCCATACTTCTGGAAGAACTGGAGCCAGAGAGGTGTCTAGGACCAAGTCACTGATTCATGAAAAGGGGTCAAACACTGAGATCATGTCATCAGATCTCCAACTGGTCCTGGAAATATTATGTGCACCTACAAAGAATCTGTTTTCAACCAATGACCTCATTTTTCCCATCGGACTGTGAACCTCTCACGGGCAGGCCCAAATTGTTCTTGCACTTCTTAGAGAGCCTCTCTGACATTTTGGCATGGCCACAAGTATGTATGGTTCTCAAAACGCCCAGCAGGTAGATGTGCCACCTGGGCGAGGTAAATATGTCTTGCTTTCACCACAATGAACGCTCAACAAACTTCACACCTATCCATAGACTTTCACACTAACCAAGACCCATCCACGCTGGGAGGGAAGCCTGAAGAAATGCTCGCTCCCGGCCCTGGACTTCCTAGGAGTAGCTGCACTTACTCTCTGGCCAGGTGTGACATTCGGGAGGGAGGCAGGTTCTGGCAGGGCTCATGCTGCCGGCAAGAGCTACGTGCAGTTAGGTGGAAGATGCTCGCTGCTCGACCCACCCTCTGCGTTCACGTTTGCTTTGTCCTGCTGACTCAATCAAGGATGGAAGAAAAGTATTTACCCAGTGAGCAGAGCGCACGGGAGAGGAATCCTGGAGGGGAAGGGTAGCAGGGTGAAGGCAGAGGCTGGCTGTGTGACAGTGACCAAGTCAGTGTCCTCCCTGATCGCCCCCTATCACTGCAGCCGCTTCAGCTCAAATGTGGGGCTGGGGAGAGGCAGCGCTGGCTGCGGCCTGGATTCCACACGCCCGCATTTGGACGTGTGTCTGTCGGGCCTCCGTCCTTCCCGGAGTCTGGGCCTGGCTGGGCTGCTCCAGGGCGTGGCGGAAGAACGAAGTGCGGGCAGGCAGGAGTCGTGGCGCGCGCCCGAGGCTGTGAGCCAGAGGCGTGCACGCCCGTAATTAGCAGCCCGCTCGGTCATTAAGGGGCCTGGCTAAGAATTTCTGTTGAATAATGGTCGCAAATTAATTAGGATGGTAAATACTCATTTCAAAATCCAACAAACTAAAGCCAGTGCCTGCTTGGAAGGGCTCCAGACCGTCCCCTGCCACAGGCTGGGCCTTCGCCTGGCGCGGCCCAGCCCTTGGAGACTCGGAGCGGGGACCACAGCGTTAGGCCGGGGTTGTGACCACAGCGCCTCTTAGCGGTCTGAAAGAAGAAATACAAAGTCTGAGCCACAGGCGGGGACAAAGGGCCAGGCGCCGCGAAGGCCTGAAGGGGAAAGCGAGGCAAGGAGAGTGCGCATCCACAGAGCCGCGCTGCACCCTCGCAGACCCCCACCCCGGGCACTGCCTCCCACACACTCCGCAGAGGCGCCCTCCCTCAGACCTCGCCCCAGACCAGTTGTGTAGGTTCCTGGACAGCACACACTCTTCGGACTTCACCTCTGGGGAGCTGAGAAGTCCCCATGGAGCTCATCCTCCTTCCAAGCCCCATCATTTCCTTTACCGATGTGCTGGCCAGAGTGGGAAGTCCAAACAATCCCGGAACACACGTGCGGGTGTCCTCAGTCGGTGCCTACCTGGTCTCAGACATCTCCTTCCGCCGAGGAGAGGGTCTCTGCCTGAGCATTCAGAGGACTATGGCCTGGTGGTGGTGCCTTCTAAGCGACAGGCTGAGGAGGAGATACAGATGCCTACGAGACTTTCCTGGGCTGTCTTTGCTTGCCAGTGTTGTTTGTAAAGGCCTCACGTTCTAGGTTAATCTCCTTTGGGTTTAGGACTTTTCTTTTTTCAAAAATATTTTCAAAAAGTGAGCCAGAGAGAGTTGTGGGCTTATTTGCAAAAGGTGAGGTTTCATTGGTAGGAATAGAAATGTGCTTCACTCCTTTGCAGTCCCAGAGTTCATCCTTGTGCAGAAGGGAGTGCTGGGGAAGGCCCACTGTAGAAGGTGGAAGTTTGAGGATCTCTCTCCAAGGGGATGGCTTTGTGTGTCAGAATGGCGCCATGAGGTGGGCTAGGGATTTCTGATAATTTGTAGTGTGCAGGGAGAGGCCTTTGTCAAATACAGGCAGGGCGGCAGACAGGGTGGGTCCTGCCCTGGGAGAGGTTCTTCTGGGAAGACTGAGCTGCCTGAACTCCCAGCCATCGGCACTGCAGGGCCTAGGCTGTCTGGCACATGCACAGTACTGAATTAATTTCCCAGGGTAAGATGGCCATAGTCAGGCTGCTCCCCCCCACCCCCCATGCTACACTGGCTCCTTCCCCTCAACCAAGCTGGGGTCCCCCCATGCCCGGGTTTGGGAACCAGCTGCTCCCCGTTTTCTGTGATTCACCCTCATGTTCCTCCTCTTCCTTCTCCTCCTCGTCTTCTTCTGTCTCTTCACTTTTTGTTTCAGTTCATCTGTTTTCTCTGTCTTTTGCCTTTCTCCCTGCCCTATAACTCCCCCTACTCTTCCCTTCCCTTCTTGCTCTGCAGAGCAGCAAACCCCAGGCCTTTGGGGGTAGATTATAAAATGGAGGGTTAGGTTTACCTGCCCACTCCCAAGAGTGAGCGCCTATCTCTGAAGGCGTTCATCTGGTCTTCTACTAATCTCGGGCCCTAGCCCGGGGTGTGTACGTGTGTGAGCATGTGCACACTTTAGGTGTGGGTGAGGCTGGGCAAATGGTGGCCTCTGCGTGCAGTCATACTATGCTTTGGCTCAAGTGCCTTGGCCTCTCTGCTTGTCCAAGTGCTCCATTCTGTTTGTCTTGGTGACTGTGTAGGGGTGGGGCCTCTGGTGAGGTTGTTCTTCTGTTCCTTTTCCCGTGTGTGAACTTTTGGTGAGCAGCTCCAGGCCTCTGTGTACATCGGGCCATGGGCTCCAGGACCCTGGGGGCAAGTGCTGTTCTACCCTGTGTGAACTTCTGTTGTGGTGCAAATTAGGATAGGTCTGTAGTGTGACTGTGAGCCTGGAAGGCTTGTGTGCATCTCTGCAGGTTCCCAGTGTGCACATCCTGGCGAGTGGACCTGCAGGGGAGAAAGAGGATAAAGGATGCTGGTGTTTGTGTCTGAGGACCAGTACAGAATCTACCGAGGGCAGTGCAGGAAGACAGGCCTTCTGTGGTATAGTGAAGGAGGGCTGTGAGTATTGGGGACCTGCTCCAGGGGCAGGTGGGGGTGACAGAAAGTCAGTACTGTGCTTGTGTCGAAATGGCTGGCAGCGAGGTGTGCAGGGAACATGTGAGTGTGGGTATGTTGAATGTGTATGTGCTCGTGTGTGTGCACATGGTGCAGCCTGTCCGCCTCACTCCTGCGGAGCCCAGCTCAATCAGCCACTGCATGAATACACTCGAATGGAAAGTTGTGCTCAGCTGACCAGAGAAATCGGACCCGGCTAGCACCGCTCCCCTCCTCCCTGGCTTCTTCTCACCTTCTCCGCCCTCCTTGGGGCCAGACGGCCACCACTGCCTGCGCACTGGGCCAGGCTCAGCTCAGCTCAGCTCAGCTGTGGTTGGAAAGGGGTCTGGCAGTGGGGGCCTGAGAGTAAGGACCCGCAGCCCAGCATCCTGGCCGCCCAGAGTCTCAGCCTCAGTGGTTGAGGACTGAGGACAGAGGAGACAGGGAGGGCGCATAAAAGCCCTAAGGCAGCAGCCAGTGCTCCAGGTGACAGCCACACAAAGGGCTAGGTGGGATGAGAGGGCCACAGTGACAGAAGACTGGGAGAAGAAGAAACAGGGGAGGCTGAACACATCCAACAGGCTGGAGACCAGGCTGAGAGCTCCTGGGGTCTGGCTGATGGATCCAGAGTGTGCGGTTGTCCTGTTTTCCTTTTTAAAGAGGCTGAGGTGGCTACTCTGCCTCCACAGCCCTCACTGTGGTTCTCAGTCCCTCCTGCTCAGTGCACCTAAGCCCAGACCTGGCCTTGCCAGTGCCTCCCGCAGGCCACCCCTGCCTAGTCCCACCACTGCCAACCCCAATCCCAGCCCCGACCCACCCCTGGTGTGCTTCCAGACCCACCATTGATCAGCATCCCGCCCTGCGCCATGACAGCTTCCAGGTCATTTCATTTTAATCAGTTGTGTGTCTCACTAGGCATAATCAACTCCGCTGATTGGAGGGTGGGAAGGGTGAGGGGGAAGAAGTGACCTGGCGGAAGAGGTAGCTTGGCCCATCTTTCCCTGGCTGGAGGCTTCTAAGGGTGGGGCCTATGATACAGATTTTCTCAGTTTCATACCCCATTCTGCTTTCCTACACAAAGCCTGGATTGCCATTGTTATTCTTTGAGGGAGGTAGGGAAGGCCAAGTTGGCTGTTAATTCTAAAGCTCTCACGGCATAGACTAGGCAGCCTAGGTACACAGAGGCCTAGACATATGGGAAGGCTTTGAGCCAGAGCAAAGGGGCTGGGGCTCCAGGCAGCAGTGCACTGAGCACAGGAAGTGGGTCTCAACCCTCTGACACCAGGAGAGGAGCCAGCCCACTGGCTGCTGTGTGCCCAGACCGTGGGAACTGAGTTAACACTTGGGCCCACTTATCTGGCCTGAGCCAGCCCTAGAGGCCCATGCCAGAGCATACACTGATGCACACACTCCCCGGCCCAGATGCAATTTATAGCCTCCCCAGGAGGGGTGCTGCACACAGCAGCTGAGATGACTTTTCCACATGCAGGACTTCACCCTGGACTTGCTCTAGAGCTCTGCCCTCAATGACCCTGGAGCCTTGACGGCTTTGGCCATGTCTTTGGGGAACCCAGAAAGAGAATGAGCAGGCAAGCATCTAGTAAATGAAAACATGGCTAGGAAAGGGCCTCTTTCCTCACTTTCATGTTTAAAGGGGCAGAAGCCAAATCCACTATAATATATCAAGGGCAAGAGTTCGACCTCCCTTCTGCCTTCTGGCCAATGAATACCTATTGTGAAACACCCCACCCCACCCTACCCCCCATGTCATAAAGGCCTGGAAAGCCTATTAGGGGTGTGGTCATGTCTGTGGACTGACTAGGACAAGGAAGCTCACACATGTCCACATGAGGACTGAGACTCACAAGACACATGTCCACTGGACAGAAAGTCCCTGCACACACCTGCACACATCTGTACATTGTATAGGTACCCTGGACCCATCCTAATAATATTCCTTGGATAACTAGGAATATATGAACTTCCCAAGCCACACACAAGTACTGTGCCTAAGCTATGCAGTATGCATGAAAACATATACTGGGCACATACCAATGCTCTGTACATGCATTTATATGAAATATCATGCACAGCTTCTTGTATGCAGACTTCGATTGAGTGCTGGAAGCCCAGTACTCAGATTTGTGCACATATACACCACCTACAGCAAGCATACAAGTTCTTCCTGCAAAGACCAGTAGGTAAGGTCAAAAAGTGGAGAGTAGAGTGGTGGTATTTGTGCAGGCCTGGGTAGAAATACAGATGAGAGTGAAAGGATAGATAATAATAAGCTAGACAGATAGACAACAGGCTGCTGATATCCAACAGGGCTAAAGGCTGAAGGCTATTGTGGACCCTGATAGTGTGTTTTCTTCATTTGGGAAAGAATGGGCACTGGAAGTCCCAAGTCTGCTTTTTTTTCTGTTGGGTATTTTGAGAGAAGGAAGAATAACCTCCAAGTTTGTCCCCTGTCCCCAGACAAAAAGTCCAGCCCCTTCCAGAAGTCACTCTCGAGCGGTGTCACGCCATTCCTTTCATCCTTCATTTCTGGTAAGTTGGCTGATCAAGGTTCATCCAGACCCTGTACACCGAGGCAACTACTTTTTTGGGTTTCCAGGCCCAAGCTCTGGGTGGAGTACATGACTGGCTATCTAAAAATGCGAGTAGGTAACAGTCCCTTAGACCAGGCAGAGGCTCCCACCAGGTGGAATTCAGGCTGTGGCTTTTCCAAACTCCTACCACCTGAGTCAATATTCCTTGAAATGTGGCAGCAGGAGCAATGTGGTCAGAGGCACTGAACACACAGAGACTCTGACACTGCATGACAGGCCACAGAACTTGGAACCTCCAGAGGTCAGCTGGATGCCCTAGTTCTAAGTAGGGATGCCCTCAGGAACCCTCCTTCTGTCTCCAAGCATACCAGCTCTTGTGCACCCAGGGTACCTCTAAGCCAGGCAGCCCCTGTGCCTAGCTGGTCTGTGTAACTCCCCCTGGCACTGCCAAGAATGAGGACAAAAGGAAATCGGAAGTCAAAATTAATTTGGAAATGCACGCAAAATTCCAGGCACGTTTCTCCCTAATCCTTCTTGCTTTGCGAAGCAGACTTTCAAGTGAAGGCAAGTTTTCTGAAATTACCTCTTTGGCTCCTCCTCGGGTGCTGGCTGTCCTGGCCCGGAGTGTCACTATCCCTGAGAACCGTGCCCCCACCCCCACCCCATGTGTACTGAGTAGAAAGGCTTGGGACTAGCAGCAACATGGTTAGTAAGAGGCAGCAATGTTTTTCTGGGTTTTGTTTTAAAGAGAAAGCCCATTCTGAAGTGTCTTGGTGGCTGGAGGGACTATGGCTGATCCCAAAAGCCAGGAAAAATTTTTAGGGAGGCAGAGACCCCTAAGGCGAGTCACAGGGTCACACAGAGACACGCACACAGGCAGTGATGAGGGGGCCCATTCTGATTCCAGGCCCTAAACTCCACAAACAACCTCCTCCCTTGCTCCCCTGTCTTCCCCCGCAAAGGAAGAAGACAAAACCTGTCAATTCTTCTGGGAAAGGATGCTTGGGTTTGGCAACCTTGTATGTTCCCCTTCTAAAAAGCAAAGCAACAAAAACCGAAGATGCCAGCACACACCCAGGACACACAAGGGCTGAGAGGCAGGCTACAGTGCCTGGAGGGGCTCAAGCTTGGGGGGATCTGGGCCTGGCATCTCCAGTGGAAGAAACTGGCTGTGTTAGCCCCCTCCCCCGCCCCCTCTCCGCCTTCGCTTGCTCGGATCCCGGTGGGGCTCCTGTCCCAAAGGGTCTCATCTTGGTTTTTTGTTTGTTTGTTGTTTTTGTTTTTTTTTTTCACACAATTCCCTGAAAAAGCTCAGGCCCAGCTTTGTCATCCTGCCCCAGCTCCAGCAGCAGACCACTGAACCGGAGAGGCAAGCAAAGGCCTGGCCGCAGCACCCCGTGGCTTCGGGCCAGGGGGACAAAAAAAAAAAAAAAAAAAAAAAAAAAAATGAGGAATATTATTTTTTCCCAACATGAGAAACAAATGGAATCCATAAAAAAAAAAAAAAAACAGTCTCGGGGAGTGATAAGAAAATGGAGAATACTGTATTTGCTTTAGAAAGTTTTTACATATAGATAAACACGCGGTTAAGATAACAGTTAAAGCGCCCTACGGGGAGTGAGAGATACCTCCAAAGCAGCTAAGAAATACTTGAAATAGCTTTTGCATAAGAATACTACGGTCTTAGTCTCACTCTCCGCTTTCACTAGCGACAGGGTCCCTCTTCCTAACCCAGGCCGCCACGCCAAGCCTTGACTGCCAAGTCGACGCCGGGACCGCCGAGTGGGAGGGGAAACCCCAAAAAAGAAAGATACAGGTGAAGGGGAAGGGAGGAAGGAGTAGGGAGAAAAGAGAAAGAAACAGAAAGGGAGAGGAGAAAAAGCAATATCATATACAGGCAATTTCTACACATATATTACAAACTGGGAAAATGACCGATCATTAAGATATACATAATTCATATAAAATTTTGAAATAAAAATAAAAATCTGTTACAGTCATAACTATTCTTTTTCCACATTTATAACCAGTACCCACACAGGCAGTGACAGAGTGGAGAGGAAAAGGTGCTTACGAAGAAAATGATTGTCTGCTGAACAAAAAACAGTAGATTGCATCTTGTTTGACCAATACTTGGACTTAAAAACAGAGAGAAGAGAAAGAAAGAGAGCGAGAGAAGAAAAAGGAGAGAGAGCAACAAAAGGTGAGAAACATTTGCTATTTCTCTCTCGAAGAGTTCTCTTTTTTTCTTTTTTAAAAACAAATTCAGAACAGAGATGGCCGATTTTTTTTTTCTTTTTGTCTGGTTTCCTTTCGTCGTCTTGTGGTGGTGGTGGTTTTTGTATAGTCGACTCTTTTAAATCATTTAAACTAGAGAGAATATTTTCCCAGATACAAATAAATCGTCATGCAGGTGGGGTGCCAGGTCCATGGGAACCAAAAGGAGAAGCCGTGCTTGTCCTAGAAAGTATACAATTGTCACCTCTCTTGTGTTTTCTGCCCGCAGTATCAGCACTCATTACTGTCGGAGCGCGGTCCTTTGGGACGGCCGTGGTAGTAGATGGTGGTAGGGGGTTGTCGGTGGTTTGCGGTTAATTTGTTATTTTTCTTGCTTTTTAAATATTTCTGGCTGGAGTGACTGTGTGTGTGTGTGGACGTGTGTGTGTGTGTGTGTGTGTGGCTGTGTATCCTGATTTCGGTTTGTTCTGGGGCTGGAGGAGGAAGAGGAGGTCGAGAAGGAGGGCTAGGAGGAGGGGAAGGAGGAGGGGGAGAGGGCAAGAAGGGGAAAGAGGGCGGCCTTGGCTATCATACATCACATTCCGAGTCGCTGGAGGTTACCGAGAGGATCGAGGTGCCGGTGTCCGCGCGCTCCGTCAGGCTGGACACGCTGGTGGTCGGGCTGGCCGCCGTGGACGGCGACTCGGCCGAGCCGTGCGTGGGGCAGCCGGGCTCGGCCAGCGAGCGCATGCCGCTTGGTCCGATGGCCTGATGCTGGAGCCTGCGGAAGAGAGAGAGCCGTGCCCGCCCTGACGCAGCGCCGCTACCACGCTCCCCCGCGCGGCCAGGAGCCCGGTGGCCGCAGGCCACCGGCGCTGCTCCGGCCTCCCCCAGCCGGTGCCCCTGACTGTGCTCTCTGAGCTCTTCCTTTCAGGCACCCAGCTGCTCCTTACTCCCCGAACGCTGCCGAAGAGCCTCCCCCTCGCCGGGGTGGCTGTGGGCTCCCTTCTCCAGGAAAGCTTTCCAAGCTTCCCAGATAGGGACCGGACTACGACCGAGGAGAGGTAGAAGCCGAGGCGGGCCGCCTGGGGAGGCCTGGGCTGCAGCAAAAGACTGGGAGTCCGGAAGGAGCACAAGTGAGGGAGGAACCCGGCACTTCTTTCTCCCCAGCCCCTAGAGCTCTTCAGACTGAGCCTGCTGCCTTCAGAGAAAGAGAGCCAGCGGACACTGGAGTTCTCTCAATACCTCCTGCCCCTGCGAACTACACTCGGAGCTGTGGGTTTCTCACCCGCTGCCTCTCGCTGTAGCACTGGGTAGCATTTTCGGGCTTTGCTCTCTAGATCCCTGCTCAGAGCGCATGATCCGGGAAGAGAAAATAGAGAAGCTGGAAGCGAAAAGTAGGGTATGTGGAGGGAGAGAAAAAAGGGAATGAAGGAGAAAGCAAGAGGGAAGCACAGAGCCTGCTCTGGCAGCCCAAACCTAGTGTCTCCGACTTCTCCCCACAAGAAAACACTCGCCTGGCACTGGGTGCTCCCCCCATCAGGCGAAAAGTGGGCTCTACAGGCAGGAGTAAGAAGGCCATGGGCTCTGGCTGGGCTAATAAACCTGAACACACCCCAGGAACTCAAACTCAGCCCCCAGCCTCCGGGCAGCTGTCAGCAGCTGGCGGGCCTGCTCCCTGCAGGACTGTTAGGCCCTGTGCCTTTCCAGCCGATCAGGGACCCAGCCTTCATCCAACTTCCTCCCTTCCTTCCTTACCCCACTCCTTTTTCCCTTCCCTCTGTGTCCCTCCAGTTCTTTTACTCCTTACTTCCTCCTGACCCAGCTCTGATGATGGCCAAGCCCTGTACCACTTTGTGACTCTCTGACCAACTTGCCCACAGCAGGGCTGTTCCTGTACGTTTCCCAACTTAATGGACCAAAAGGGATGTTCTTCGGCTAGGAAAGGAGGCCGACTCCAGGCACCTGCACACTCCGGATTGAACACTTGCCCCCGACACACACTAGGCCTCAGCACTCCCAGCCGGGCTCTCCTCTTTGGGGTCCTGTACCTCTGCATGGTGGCCACCGGCCTTTTCCCTTTGTGGCAGGGCCCCGGGCTCACTTTATTCTGCCTGACTTTTGTGAATTCCTCTCCACTTTCTTTTTGCAATGCATGGGAATAAGAGCAAGATGGCAAGGAGTGCTTTCCTGCCCTCCCTGTCTCTGGGCACAGAGGAGCATCCAGCTGGAAGCAGGACGGAAGAGAGCTCCTCTTGCAGCTCCCGGGGTCAGGACCACGGGCTGTAGGCACTCGGGATTATGTGCACACTCTGTCTGCCCTGGCAAAAGCCCTTCCAGGGCAAAGCAGTCAATAAACCCGCAGCCCGCCCCTCTTCTGCGCGCCAGGGACAGCGGAAACTTTCTCCAACTGGCCAGAGATTCGAGGCTTCTCTGGCGCTCGCTGGGCGGCCGCCCCTACTAAATCTGCTTGCCTGCATTTCAACCCCTCTCCCAGGCCCGGGCCAGGAGCTGCAGCCAGACCTAGGACCCCGCCACTGACCTGTTCTTGGCCGCTGCGGCGCGGTCGCGCTGCCGCCGGTTCTTAAACCAGTTGCCTACTTGTGTGGGAGTGAGGCCGGTGGCCTGCGCCAGTTCACGTTTCTTGCTGGGGTTGGGGTAGGGGTCCTGCAGGTACCACTCCCGCAGCAGGCTCCGAGTCCGCTCCTTGAAGCAATGCGTCTTCTGCTCGCCGTCCCAGATGGTGCGCGGCAGCGGGAACTTCTTGCGCACGCGGTACTTGTCCACCGGGCCGAGTGGGCGGCCGCGCAGCTTCTCGGCCTCCTGGTAGTGCGCCTCGAGCCACATAGCCTGCAGCTTGCCGTGCGATTCCTTGGTGAACTTGTGGTTCTCCAGGATGTGGTACAGGTCGCGGAAGTTGCCCGTGTGGAAAGCGACCACGGCGCGCGCACGCAGGATCGACTCGTGCTTGTTGATGGCCTCGCACGCCCCGGGGGCCACGGGCAGCGACCAGAGGAAGCGGCCCAGCCGCTCGATGTCGCCCGTCTCCTCCAGCGTCTCACAGACGCTGGCCACCTGCTCCGGCGAGAAGTTGAGGGTGGGCAGCTGGAACATGGACAACTCTTCCGGGGGGGCCCTGGAGCCGCCGCCGCCGCCGCCGCCTCCCGCGCGGTTCCCGCCGCCGCCTCCCGCGCCGCTCCCGCCGCCGCCGCTCGCCAGAAGTAGGGAGCAGTGGTGAGAATCGGCGAAGTTTGGCAACAAGAAGTGGGAGGAATAGAGGTCTAGGGGGGAGCGGAATACCATGGACTGACCTGAGAGGAGAGGAGAAAATTCAGGGAGAGGAAAAGAGAGGGGAGGAAGAGGAGGAGAGGGTCGATGAGGACCAGGAGGAGGGAGAGGAGCGGGGGGAGGAGGAGAGGGAGAGGAGGGGGGAGCAGGAGGAGGGGGAGGAGGAAGGACGTAAGGGACACCCACACCCCACACACATCCACACACACACACACCCGCGCAGCCACATAGAGAGGGAGGAAGGAGAGCGGCCCGGCGCGCGCGCGCAGAGAGCGAGCCCGAGACAGAGAGGGAGAGGGAGAGAGGAGAGGGAGAGCCAACCACCGCCGAGTCAAGATTCAGCGATTCCACAGCAATCGCCCTAATGACAACAGCCTCATCATATCTCCCCTAAATCCACAGTGAGTGCAGCATTGAAACATTTTGTTTCGCTTTTCTATTGGTCTGCGGCGTGTCGTTGTGGCGTTGCCACGGCAACCGCTGCCAATCACTGTCAGCCCTGCCAATCAATACAGAGAACGTAAGGACGGTTTTACCACTTAGCCAGAAAGGGGGGGGGGAGGGGGAGAGAAGGGAAGGAGGAAGAAGGGGGAGAAAGAATTTTTTTTTAATCTTTGCAACTCTTAATCTCGCCACTTCGCCTTCTCTGCCTCCTCTATCACTTCTCTCCTCTTTCCTCTCCTTTTCTCTGGCTCTCACTCTTTCTCCTTCTTCCTCTTCCCCACAGAAGTTGATCCAGAAATTCAAAAAGCTAGGGGCACAGAGTAGTTGGATGAGGTGACCGGTTACAAGGGGGGGATTTTGTTGGAAGGCAAGAAGCTCCCCGCGGCCTGATGACAAGGTGTGGCCTGCTTGCAAAGAGAGGACAAGGGCCAACCAAGCAGGCAAGCTTTGCACATGGTGTGTACGTGGGACAGCCTCTTTCTGCCTATGTGAGCATTAATAGTGGCAAAGAAGAAAGGAGATGAGATCATAGGGCCCACCAAACATCAACCCTGGCTCAGAAGGCCATGGGATAGCAGATTGGGGGGGGGCACGTTTGGCACCTGGGAGTCTGAGCCCGGAATCCAGGATGGGGTAGGCTGTTCTGGCCTCTTTGGCCTGTGCCTGTAGGCTACATTCACCCCAACTCCCTCTTCGTTGGTTGGAATTCTCTTTACTCTGCTCCCAGCCAAGGAGCCTTGATTTCATCCATCACTTTGTATTATAAAATAAAAGAAACAACAGTACACTTCTTTTCATGTTAAAAAGCAACCTGACTCTTTGTGCCCCCTCACACACTTCAGCTGCCTCAGGGAGATGTGGAGGAGCTGCCCAGGCCCAGAAACTTGGGGGCCTGCTGGACCCCAGGGAGTCAGAAAGATGCAGGTTTCCCTCACACACCAGAAGGACCTCTGGGCCTGCCCACCAGCCCCAAGAGGGCACTGAAACTTTGGAGACCACCTGAAAAGGCAGATAAGGCCTAATAATTGCTTGTTTGCTCATATTGTAAATAATAATAATAAGCTGCTTAATTTCTCTGTAGGGAAAGTAACCCAGCAAGCCTAAAACAGAGCCTAAAACGTCCACAGAACCCAGAGGGCCTTCCCTCCCTCTGCTGCTGCTACCCCCAGGCGAGGCCTGGGTGTTTATCCCTAGGTATGTTGCATTTAAGAAGATGTAATCAGCATCTTGAGCTGGTCTCCCTTTGTGAGGCTTCTGTAACTATGGAAGTGTGATTTACGCAGATTTGTCAGGGTCAGAGACGTCTTTCCCCAGCACTGTGTATATTTAGACAGGACTCGGTTTGGTGTTAAAAAGTGTATATGTTGAATGGATTCACACACAGTAGCCAACAATGCCCACATTGTCGGCCCGTGTACAACGTGTATTGAAACGCAGTGCTCAGACTTCAACTAATCTGCCCTCAATAAAGCTGAAATAATTATCCTAAGCTGCCTTTCCAGAAGAAAAATCATTGAGGAATTCAAAACTTAAAAAAAAAAAGATCTTTTCTGCATTCCGATGCAGATCTGGAGGCACGGCGCCGGTCCACACCACTTTAGAGATCTCAGTGAGGGAGGAGAGAAAAAGAGATTGAGGGAGAATTTAAATAGGACTAACGTGACTAGGGCTGTGACTATCCCAGTCCCTAAACCCGGAGCTCAGGCCGAGTTCAGGCCTTGACTCCCGCAGCGTTGGAGACTCCAGGGAGACTAGGAGACTCCGGATAGGGCTTGGCTCACTCTGCCCTAAAGGCAGTTTGGGGTAACATATCGAAACCCCTGACTGGGCAGAGAAATATCCCCCCAAGGGGAAGATTCATCAAGCCCCACTTTGGGGGTCTCTCCTTATACTGTGTCTTCCTCTCGACCGTGAGTTCTTTTCCCGCTCAGCTGCCAAGCTCTGGGCGGTCGTTCACTGCAGGCCCAGAAAAAGCCCAAAGGTTGGGACACAAAAACAGACACTTCGTCTTTTCTTCCCGATCCCTTTCTCTTGTACGGGAAGGATTACAGACTGAAAGGTGGGAGGGGGAAGGGGCAGGAGGAGGAAGCAGGGGAGGCAGGAATGAAAAAGGGGAGGGGAGTGGGTATTGTGCCGCGTGTGGGGGGAGAATTCCTACGGGTGGGTTTCCGAATATTGTGTTCAACTTTTTGAAAGCAGCTCGTGACCCCGAAACTGCATCCCCCGGACCTGGGGACCCAGGCGCCGGGCGGGCGAATGAACCTGGCCAGTCCCTCCCTATTCCCTCACCCCCACCCCCCACCCCCGCCTCCGGGTGGGGGCGACCTGGCCTCTCCCCGCCGCTACGGTGCCAGCCCCGGAGGGAGGCTGGGCAGGTGCCTCGGGCTTTGCTGAAAGCACTGAAATTGAAAATCCTCGCTCAAAGGGATAATTGAGGAAATTCGCGCAGAGACTACGCTCCGCGACACCCCGGTCCCCCAGCCTCTACTGGGGCGCCTGCGAACCTCGCAGGCGGCGGCCGCGGTCCAGAAGCTCAAACCCGGGAGGAGGGCGGCGGCGAGCGCGCAGCTTTGTGCGCCGGCACTCGGCTCCTCGCCACCGGCTGGCAGCAGCCCTCGGCTGTCCGCGCCTCCCCGCGGAGCCCAGTTCGCGGCGCCCACTTCGCCCACCTCGCGGCCCGCCAACGCCAGCGCCTCTGGGCCCTAGCCCGAAGCCCTACGCCCGGCGCGGCGCCTGAAGTCAGTAAGTTGAGAGTCCACAGAGCTGAGAGGGGAGGCGGGGCGGCCGGTCCTTGGCGCGGATGGCGGGCCTGGAAGCGCAGGCTGCTTAGGTTCTGGGTGTAGGGGTGCCAAGTGTGTTCGGGCGGGAAGGACGGCTGTGGGGCATCAGGGCTTCTCCTCCCCAATTGCTGGGTGCTGGGGAATGGGGATAAGAACAGAGGGAACTCGGGTTCCAAGCCCCAGGCTGCCTTCCTCACCGGTCTTGGGACCAACCCACTGGGCAGCTGCAGAGCCAGCAAGTGAGCCCCGGGGACTCCTCAGCAAGGGCCAAAAGACGCCTGCACCCCGAGTTAGTCATAGTGATGAGGTAGGTCAGCCTGCGGGGCTTCTAGGTCTCTCTCTTGACCTCTGGCTGCTGAGATTCTGAGATCTGGGTCTTGGAACTGGTACAGCCTGAGGTCACCTGTGCAGACCAAAACTGTCACTATCGTTCCCGCTTCGGTGGAGGCCTCCGGAAATACAATATTCAGGTGGGGCCAAGAGAAAAGAGGGCGTTTGAACTGGAGAATGTTCTGGAATCAGGCGTTAGTGGGCATCTATTTACAAATGTCAGTCCCAACTCCAGCACTGGGACAATCTCAAACAGGAGACGCGCCGGAGAGACTTGCTTGTTTCCGGTTACAGGGGTCTGCAGGCCTCTGGGAGAGGAGGATACGGAGGGCTGGGGTAGTTGCACCCACTCGGACTTGCCCAGCTCCCAACAGGACGCTCAGAAGGCCAGGGAAGGTGGGGGGGGGCAGGGGACCGCCCCTTCCGGCCCCCAGGACGTCGGGAGGTGGGGGCTGGCCCGGTGGCCCACGGTCAGGCCTCCCCGCAAGCCGCAAACTGAGGCGCTTGGCGCGGACCGCCAGGGAGGGCGCAGGGGAGCTCAGCGCACAGGCCGGGAGGCCGCGAAGCCCTTTAAGGACCCCGATTACTTTCCTTTGAAAAACAACAACAACAACAACAACCGCTCCCTCCCCGCGCCCCCGCCCCCATCTTAGCCTCCGGGGACCCGCGCTCTAAGCAATTGTCGTCCGGGACCGTAAACACAGCTCAGTTGCCTCAACTTTCTCCTTGCATAAAAGTTCCCGGCGTGCGAGGAAATTTGAATATTTGATCAGCCCCTTTGAGTGACCCTCATTAGCCTGGCGCCCTGCTAAGGCCCCGGCATTGCAAGAAAGCTGCTGGGCCTGGCATTTGTACGCCTTGTTAGCGCCGCTTAATGAAGCCGCCCGGTCGGCTCAAAGGCAGCCTCGGAGGCAGGCAGCGCGCACCTCTCGGCACCCCGCTCTGCCTAATGAGCCCCACCGCCGCTAAAGGCTCCTCCACCCCCCACATCCTTACATAAGAGAAGTTTGGCTCGTCTTGGGCCACAGGCACCTCCCACTGCCAGGCCCAGGAGTGTGGGCATAAACCCAGCCTGGCTGGCTGTGGTGATCTAGCCCCTTGAGAAAGGAGCAGGTGACTTGAAGGTGTGAGCCATACTAGTTGTGTGGGTGTGGATGTATGTGTGGGGTGGAGGCAGCCTCAGAATCTGGTCCAGGATCAGTCTCCCTCTCCCAAGAGGGACAACAGCAAATCAATTAGTCATTCCAGTTCCTCAAAGACACATCTGCACTAATGTTGGAGTGGCAGAGGGCACTTGCCCAGGGGAGGGCATCTCCCTTCCTCCTCAAGTTCCTTTGGTCTCCAGTTCCCAGGAGGCTCCACGCTTCTTCCCACCAGTCCTCTTCTGACAACCAGAGCTCAGACCTGCCTTTGACAAGGGCGGCCAAGCTCAGCTCCCCAAACCACCGCCGCCAAACGCCATCTGAAGAGCCCAAATACTGTACAGCCGAATGTTGGGACTGTTGGAGACCGGGAAGAGAAGGCCGGATACCACAGCCTATGCTAACCATTCACCCCACACCCAACTGTCTCTTCTCTGGTGTCCCTGTAATAGTGTTTCTGGTCTTGAGCAGGCTTGAAGAAAGTGCCATAGGAGGGGCCATCTTCCTTGGGTGCAACTGGGCATAATGCAGGCCCAGGAGAGAGGAAAAGGCAGAAAGCTCTGGAAGGAAGGGAAACTAAGGCCACCATCTACTCCTCCCCTTCCCTCCTTTTCTTGGGACAAGTAATGTGGTTGACCAGAAAATATAAGAAACTATAAGAAATTGCACTTCAGTCTTCAGACATTGTCCCCTTTCTCCTCTACTGCCCTTTTCCCTGGACTCAAGGGAAACCCAGGGTTCTCTGTCACCCCCACCTTGCACTCTTAGCTCCTGAGCCCTTGAAGGCTACTTTTTGGAGGGCATGGGAAGCTGGGTGCTCCCAGGTCCACGCTCAGAGGCCCTCCCCTTATATGCCAGGGATGCTCTGACACAGTGAGCCTGGTCGGGCTGGTAGCTTCCAGACCCCATTCTGGGGGCCTGGAACTGTAGAAAGTAGAGGGACAGGCCAGCCTTCCTCTGCCTCTCAGAAGGCAGAGCCCTCTCCGTCCGGCTAGCCTGCCTCTCTGCCCTTTCCTTCTTCTCCCTCTCCCTCTCCCTCTCCCTCTCCCTCCAGTTTCACTGGCAAAGCCACCCGGGTTCCCACTCTAAGACCCCTTACATCAAGCCCAAACTGACAATGTGTAGGGATCAGCCCTGAGCTGAGTAAAGGCGGTGCTCAGGCCGCGGTGGATCCAAAGGGCAAAAGTAGGAGCAGGGAAGCCAAGGGGTGGGCGCTGTTGGGGAAAAGGGGGACCTAAGGTGGAGGGTAGATCTCAGTTCTGTGGCCCCAAGGCCAGGCCCACTGGCTGCTCAGGGGAGGAGGCGAAAGGAGGGGGCTGGGAGTCCGCGGGCAACGGTCGGTGGGTCGGGGCCGCAGGGATCTCAGGCGTCGGCGTGGGGGGCTAGATCCGGAGACAAGGGGCGGGGAGGCGGGGGTCTGAGGAGCGCGCGGGGCGGAGGGGGGGCGCAGCTCTTTAAGAGCCACACGGCTGGCAGGAGAGGCGCGCGGCCCGGTGCTGGTAGCGCACTGACCCCGAAGGGGATTTAGCGGGAAGGGAGCGGCCGGTCTCCGGGGGCACCGGGAGAGGCCGAAGCACAAGAATAAGGAGCGGCTGAGGCTTGAAAGGCCTCGAGGAGCGGCGGCGCTGCTGCTCTTGACTTCTGAGCAGGGCTTAGAACATCTGCCCCGGCTTAAGCCGAGCTGCGGATGCTGGGCCCTGAGCGCCTAGTCCACAGGCTCTGAGTCACAGGCCTCGGAGCCAAGAAGGCGTGGGATGGGGGAGCTGGGGTGGCGGAGCCCCTGGCAAAGGCTCTCTTGGCTCTCCAGCCTCGCGGTCCCCATGCAGAGAATCCCAGCGTCCGGCAGGACCTGGTCAGAATTTTCTTTTTCCAACTTGGCTTTGGGTTTTGTGAGTCCACTTCGCGCAGCCTGGAAGCCGGCCGACCCCAAATGGATTCTCAACAGGTGGCTAGGTAAGTCTGTTTAAAGGATTCTGGTTATTTCGCCAGCCCCTCCCTGACCCCCGTCATTTCCCCCTCCCTTTTCCCCCCAGGCGGGACTAAGATCGCAGGGCCCCTCCCGCCCGCGCCTGCTCCTGGAGGGGAGCAGCGCCCTCCCCTGGGGTCTTCGGGCTCGGGGTTCCAGCCCTGCAAAGCTGGCAGGCAGCCCCTGTGAGTTCCTCCTGGTACCTCGGTCCCGAGCAGCGCTCTTAGCTCTTGGGACTGGGCCCTGGCGCCCCAAGAGGGGGAAGGAGGGAGAGCGCGCCGCCGCACCTCGAGAGCCGAGCTGACAGAAGGGGGAACAGGGGATCCCTTAGCCAGCGGCCTTTGTGTGGGCGTTTACTGTGGAAACCGAACTATTCATTCTCTTTTATGAGAGACGCGGGGTCCGGCCCAGGGGATCCGGTTTAGGGAAGCCCGCGCCAGCGGTACAAAGGCGGGCGGAGGAGCTTCCCGGCGGCCAGGGCTAGGAGTGGGGTAGGGAACGTGGCCCACAGAGAGGGAGAGGAAGGAAAGAAAGGCAAAGGCGAGAAATCCCGGGCGTCCAAGTGAAAAGTCGGAAAATGTCCCCAGAGCGTGCCAAAACCAGATGCGCGCTCGAGGGCGCACAGCCTCTCTCCCCCTCCCGTCTCCGTCTCTCTTTCACTTACACGCACACTCACACCCATTCCACACAGGTAGCCCAAGCACGCGGTTCTTGGCGGTGCGAGGTCACACTCCCCGGCGCCCCAGCCGAGCACAGAGCCTCTTTCCTCCCAACCCCCATCCCTCCTGCCAAGAGCCCTCCCGGCCCTCCAAGGGCGCCCGCCTTGGGGGAATTGGGAGGAACCCCCAGGTCTGGGGGTTCGGGGAGGATCTTACCTGCGGAAAGGTAAGGGAAGCTGGGAGCACGAAGCAGCGGCGGATAAATATTCATTAGGAAGTGTAAGTCTCTCCTTTTAAACCGCGCGGCGCGCTCTCTGGCTCCTATCTCTCTTTCCCTCCCTCCCTCTATCTCCTAGTAAGACTCTCTCCTCCTCTGTCCCCCCCCCCCTTCCTGCGAAATACCAGGTGGATCTCAGTCTAGCTAACCTGTTGGGAAGCCTGACCTGCGGGCAGCGCCTCCACAGCTAGATGTTTGCTTTCGCTCTTGGGGCGCGCGTTTCCCCATCCTCTCCTCTCCCTCCTTTTGCCCAGCCCTCACCTCCTCCTAAATTACTACATCATTAGCTTGATTTTCAGGGGGGGGGGGACCAGCAGCCAGATGCATCTCTCCATAGCAGGGTGACAAGCGCGCTCAGAGGCAGCCCCAACTCCACCTCCGGCGCATCCTCATCCATCTCCACATCCCCACTCAGTCTTGTTTCTTTTTCTTCCCTCTTTCCATCTCCACCTCCATCCTGTCCCAACCCAGTTCCCTCACCATCCCTCCCACCCCGCCTCGCCGCCGCCAATCCGGATTCCAGAGTGGGTCAGCAGTGAGATATCTGGTTGGTAGGTCCAACGCGTCGAGGTTGGGATTTCACCCGCAAGGGGTCTGGGCCGGTTATCCTGGTCTCTCGTTCCCACGTAGATTTTTCCATCCTGACCCTGAATGGGCACCGGAGCAGCTTGGGCCTTAGGGTCAGAACACTGGGGCTCACTTGAAAGGCCTCAGTCCTCCAAGCCTCGGGGTCCATGGGCCTTGGCCCTTCGACCTGTGCTGCATGCCGGAGGAGAGGTGGCTTCACTTCTCGCTAAGGAGCAGGAGAGACACCCCGACCGACCGTCGAACTGGCATTGGTCCTCTAGGAACAGACTACCTGAAGTTAGCCGCGAGACAGCAGCTTTGTCAATCAAGAGAGAACACTTCTAGAGGATTCCAGGAACGCACAAGAAATCGCTTCCAGTCGCACGTGAACACGTGCACACATACTCGGTACCCCGCACTCCGGAGGCCAGCGCCCCGCAGGACCTCTGCGAAGAGAAGGTGCACAGGCCTCGAGGCGGATTTCCGGCGGAAGAATGCGTCCATGACCGCCTTAGGGAAACTGCGGTCACTCTTTGTGATCACCTCACTCCCAGATCATGCCCCCCAGGCACCCCAGGTGCCTTGAAAAACGTCGTGGCCCGGAGGTGCTTGGGGTGGTGATAAAGCGCACTCCAGCAGCCTGCTGGGCGCGGCGCTGGAGGAGGGGCCGAGGGGGCGGGCCGAGGCTAGTTCCCAGGTGCTAATAGAGCTGTCCCCGGGAGGCCGAGGAGGAGACTTGTGTCCCCAAACCCTCCAATTACTCGCCTCTAGGTTCTGCGACGTCCACAATTGGATTTCCACTCTCCCTAGAGCACGGGGAGCACTCTGCAGCGAGGTGGCCTCATGGGGGCTGACGTGGAGAGCTCTAAGGAGACTTTTTCTCCCGCATTCCACCCCGCCAGGCCACGATTCACCAGGAGAGGTCCCGAAGGTTGCTTCTACCCTTCCTGAAAGGTTTTGTGGCACAGGATGGCCCGAGAGTTTCTCTCTTTCTGAAAGGTTAAGAAATAGGGCACTTGAAAGTGTAAAAGAGGCCTAGGGGCCCTAGGGTCAGCAAGTCTTATCAACTTTGGATCTCACCCAAAGCACAGAGTTTGCACTTGCACACTTCACCTCCCCAGGCAAACAGTCTGAGCTCCGGCTCAGAATGAATCACCCGACTGTGTGCAGAACGTCCATGCAATTTACTAGAACACACATGGGCAGATTAAAGGAACACTCACAGCAGAATTTGAGTAATAAAGAAGTGTCCACAGGCATAATTATTCGAATGCACGAGTGTACTCCCAGTCGTCCAGATGCAGACAAAAGGCACAGTGCCCACGTGGATTGACCCCAGACACTCAGGTAGATGTACAGGAAGCTGCACACAGGGAGAATAGGAGAACAAAGATGCAGGCAGCAAGGCTTCGTGCTAGAGGGAGGGACATTGGCCTCGAGGGAGAAACTTTGTTGACTGGGTGAAAGGTTTCAGATCCAGTCCTGAAGACTAGAAAGAACAAAAAGAACCAAAGTCAGCCTTTTCACCTTCCTCCCTGCTCTGTTGGAGACACCCAGAAGAGGGCAATACAGGAAAGATTCATTTTGACAGGGATTATTCATATTTATTTGTCATTTTTAACCTAGGAGATTGCATTCTGGGGGAGGATGGCATGGAGGGGATAGATAATCTCACTGGGCCAAAGATGTCTAATTCCCTCCAACCATGGCTCTAGAAATGAACCTAGAGTTTCTAGGTTTTAGAAACTCCTTGTTTTGCCCTCTTCGCTTCTCTTATCCTAAATCTAGTCCTTACAGAAACTTCTTGTTCAGCTCCCTCCTCTCGTCCCACTTCTGAGTCCCCTGTATGTCAAAGTATTCTCTGCAAAAAGACACTTTTTGAAACTCATTTTCTTTGTGAGATAAAGGGAAGTTCTCAGCCCCTGCTCCCCAGTCTCAGAGTTTGATGTCCCTGCCCAGTTGAAGAGCTTCCAGCAGGGATTCCCAGGTTGGCTCTTCCACCAGGCCCGAATGGCTGCACGAGCTTGTTTTTGGTGTCTGCTCCATTTGCCTGCATGGAGTCCAGGAGAACAGCCCTGGACAGTGGCTGGTTTTGTGCATGCAGAGAGCAATGTGCCCTTCCCCCACTTCATCTTCCTTCCCAACTTTCTCTCTTTTGACCTCATTTTCTGAGCCTCTTTCTCATCTGAATGTAGAGACTAAGTTTGGAAAGATTTGTCTCAATTTTTTTACAAAAAGAAGGATAAAAGGTAGTTTCTGGGCCAGTAAGTTGGACGACCACCCTTTAAGGGGCAAAGGAGGGCCCATTTTGCGAAGAAAAAATGAACCACCCAAAAACACTGCAGGAGGACTTGCCACAGCAGCTGTAGTTGCCCTAGAAATGGAGGGAATATGGAGGTGTGAGTGGGAAAAATTTTCTCCTATTTTGGGGGCAAATGTCATGTCATTTTCTTGTTCAAGATATACTTAATTCCTGGGCATCGTATCTAGAGTTTACTCTTGTAGGTGTTTTGAACAATAATGAGTGAAATTCACTTTAGACTCATGAAATCTTGATTTTTCATTAGAAAGACGGTTTCTTCTAGGCTATTCTTCTTCACCCAGGTTTATGTTTCCTTATTCCCAGATGAGGGTCCACCAGCTGATTCACCCCCAAAAGAGACTTCGACACAGGGCAATGCCTAAGGACTCATCACTCTCAGATCCAAAGTGAGGCTGAGATTTTCATTCACTGTAGCTGAGATTCAGAGCACAAAGAAACAAACTTGTTTACTTTCAGGTATTCTTTCCTTCTTTGGGTAGTTTACCTAGAGGTTTCTCAAATAAATTATGGCATTTTAAAGTTGGAAATACTTGTTATTACTTTTGAATCTTCCAAGATTCTCCAAACTCTGCTTGGCTGATTTTAAAAACTGCACATACATAGTGGTACCAGTTGCAACATTTATCACTCAAGCAGAAAAGTGACTTGTTTTCTCATAGCCCCAATGTCCCATGTACAGTCAGTGGAGCAAACTTATTTTTCTTTTCCCCAAATGTCCTTGTCACCTCTTTCAGGGAAACAGGGCTCAGAGCAAAACGGCATAGATTTGTGACCTCTTGACTAGGGCTCACTATATTGTTAGGTTTTTGTTGTGAGAAGTTCTGATTGTGTGCTTCTCCTTCTTTCTTCCAAAATTAGCTGATTGGGATCGCCCCAACTTCTGCCTAGAATGAAACTCGCCATTCCCAATCCCCAGGGCAAAAGCTGGGCACCACTAAGGGTCTAGGGCTTCGATGGGAAAATGCAGAGGGTATGCGGGTGGGGGAGATGACATAATCTCCAACAATAAATTAAAATAACCTTTAATCCCTTCCACAACAGTGTCAGTACGCTAGAGAGGCCGACTCACCTCCAAAGGTGTCTTAAATCCCAAGGTCCGGGACTCCAAGCCGCAGCCCAACACTGGGCCCGCGCGCCGAGAAGTACTCCGACGGCAAAAATCCCATACATTTTTAACTACAGTGATTACTAAATTAATAGCAGGCACTAAGACAGATGTCAAAACGTCTTGAAAATGTTTATCTGTGAATAATTGAGAAGGTGGTGGGACGCATTATCTGATTGTGTAATGAAATATGTATGAGGAACAGCTGTTTGCAACAGTCCCCTCCCGCCGCCGCCTCAGCCAGGGCCCTTCTCTTGCTAGCAGGAGTCGGAGCGAAGTTGGTCGCCCACTTCTGTCCACTTAGGAGCCCGCTCGTCCCCCTCCTCGGCTGCTGGCACGGCTGTGGCTCCGGAGCACCCCAGAGTCGCCCAGTCGCCCGCAGGAGGGCATCACTATGGAGTTGCCCCCGGCCTCGCTCGGTGGACTCTGTGGCGGGAAGAGGTTTGGCCCGCTGCCGCGCTGTCCCTCTCGACTTCCGGGCGGGCTGCGGGCCGGGCCTACGGAGACCGAGGAGCCCACGCCCGGAGCCCTCTGCGCGCCTGGCGTGCGCCTCCGGAGCTGCTCGGCCCACTCCGAGGCGAGGCCCAAGCCCCGCGGCTCAGCTGGGCCGGCGGGGTCACCGCGGGGTGACGACCGACACGGGGCTCCCGAGAAGTCTTTGTCCTGCACTCCTGCCGGTGGCACCGTGCACTTCCTTCTAGCCCCCGCTCCAGCGCCCGCGTCCGGCCCTGTTTGTTTTTCCAGCCCCGCGCCCTCCACCCTGACACGCAAACAGCCCGTGGGGCTGCGTCCGTTGCCCGAGGCCGTGGCCCAAGGGCGGCTCGAGTCCAGCTGGGGCCAGCGCGGCGGGTTCTGGCCTTGTAGGCGGCAGCGCGAGGGGACAGGCGGCTCTGAGGTCTTCCTGGAGCGAGGGGGCAGGGACAGCCGAGTAGGGTGGCCCCTTGGGACGCAGGGCCTCGGCTGGGCCAGTGAGAAAGCCCAAGTCCCAGGCGTGGAAGGGGACAGACGCCTGCGCCGGGGTTCCTGACCTGCCTACCCGACTTGGAGTGGGGGGTCACTGGTGCAAGAAAGACTCGAGGATCCCTGGAGGGACCCCATCAGGTGGGGGCCTTGAATGCGGTGTCAGCCGCAGGGATAAACCCAGTGACCCTGTGTGGACACCCTGTCTCCCTTGTAGCATCTGGGCCACTTCCAGAGGTTTCGGGACTCGGTCGCGCTGTGGCGCTTCCTGCGGTTCCCACAGCAGTCCCTGGGCTGCCTGCGCGGCCTCGCGGGCCCTCGCCTTCCCCGGCCCCGGGTCGGGTCTCTAATGCCTGGAGCCCAAGAACCCTCGCCCCTAGAGCTCGGCCGCACTGGCCCTTGCGGGGCGCGCCGCAGCCTCTGAGCGTTCGGGGCCTGGGCCCGGAGCGGAGGAACAGAGTCCAGCTCCGCGGCAGCGCGGCGCCCGAACACCCAGCGTCTTCGTTATCTCTCCCGGCTGACTCGCAGTCGAGATGCGCTCCGGCGTTATTTCTGGAGCGTCGCCCCTTTTGCCTAATCCTTTATGCTTTTATTCTAATAGGACACTTTACAGTTAATCTGCAATGGTACCGCTTCGGAGGGACCTGTTGCATAGGAGGCAGGGTAATTTGTAACCTAGGAAACAGTTTTAAATAAAGATTATAACAGTGATGTCAACTGTGTTTATTCTCTGCGCAGGGGATGGGTAGAGGAGGCACGTTAGCCCCTCGTTGGAGAGAATGGAGTTTCCAAGAAGGAGAGAGGCGCGCGGGGCAGAGCAGAGCAGCCGGGGTCCAGGAGGCAGAGGAACAGCCCAGACTGCTTTAGCTGCTCCAGTCCCAATCCTGGAATGTTCTCCTTTTTTTCTTTTGGGAAACCGTGAGGCCTGGGGAGGGGAGAGTGGTTTGCAAAACTGCAGGGATCTC